GGACCCAGTGGGAGATAATTGGATCATGGGGGTAGGTCTTTCCCATGGTATTATCATGATAGTGAACAAGTCTCATGAGATCCGATGGTTTTAAAAATGGGAGTTTCCCTGTACAAGCTCTCTCTTTGCCCCCTGCCATCCATATAAGATGTGACTTGCTGCTCTTTGCATTCTGCCATGATTGTGAAGCCTCCCCAACCAAGTGGAACTGTAAGTGTATTAAAGTTCTTTCCTTTGTAAATTGCCCAATATCAGGTATGTCTTTATCAGCAGCATGAAAACAGTATGATATGTAAACACAACGTATTTATTTAATCATTTAAAAAGTCCTCTTGGAAAGTCTGCAGGTATTTATAAGCAGTGGATAGTGCCTTCAAAAACATAATGAGTAGTAGATGAAAGAACAGGAAGAGACGGAAAAGGAAAGTAGAAGTAGAAATTCTACTTTTTTTGAAACAGGGTCTAGCTTTGTTGCCCAGGCTGAAATATGGTGACACAAAATCTCAGCTCACTGCAGCCTTGCCCTCCAGTGTTCAAGGCATCCCATCCACCCACTTCAGCCTCCCAAGTAACTGGGACTATAGGCATGTACCACGATGCCAGGCTAATTTTGTTTACTTATTGGAGAGATAAGGTCTCACCATGTTGCCCAGTCTGCTCTCTAACTCAGGCTCATGCAATCTGCCCATGTTGGCCTCTCAAAGTGCTGGGATTACAGGTGTGAGCCATCACACCCAGTGTGAAGTAGAATTTCAACAGTACAGATATTAGAAGAAGTTCAGGGCAGAGACTCAGAAAACTGTGGGTTGCCCACTTGCCTCTTTTCATCCCCTTTACCTTGCTGCCAAATTGTCAAAGAATTTTTTTTTGCATTTATTTGACTAATCAATAGTTTTTTAACCTCTCCCCAATTCAGTGTGTTAAACTCTGTGGTATATAGTAAGCCCATAGTATAATTTTAAAACCTGTTTAACTTTGAGCTACTTTGACCTTTCCTCCATTTCTTGTCTGAGGATCGGGTAGGAATTTGTGGTTTTCAGATTGCAACCTCTCCTCCATCTTTCTGTGGCAAGGATATCTCATTTGCCTAGTACGAATGATTTCTCACCATGTTCTTTCCATGTGCTGCATCCTCACTGCACTTCGGGAACTCCTAGGATTAGTCAGGATAGCTAGTCCCACTGACCACAGTTACTAGTTCAGGAAGGAGCTCATGACCCAAGCTAACCTTTGCGGCCAACTAAATATAGTTCTAGGCTTTTGGTTTGAGCTTGATGGGAAGTGGTTCTTTCTGCTAGATTAAGTCTTCTGGTCTGGCTGTAAATCTACAGCTCATGGGGGCTGCTGCATGGACTCAAATAATTGAGCCAACTCAGAGAAAAGAGAGCAGAAAAATGAGTCTTGGGGTATTGCCTGAGACATTTAAGTAATATGAACCAATAAATAACTTTTTTTTTTTTTTGCTTATTTTACTTGAGAACCTAGTTTTAATTTTGAAATGGGGACTTCTAATCATGTGATGAGTCATTTACTTTCACCTAATCACCCTGATTATTTTTTTGTTCATTGCATTAAACTGGTTTGTAAATTATACCCTACACGTAAACTAACCCTTTCACCCTCCAATAGTACATTCTGGCATTAAGTAACTGAGAGGAAGGTGTTACAGTGGATGGCCTGAGATCCTCTCAGTTCCTTTATGGGAGAGTGGTGGCTGATAGAAACTTTACCGGGAGAAAGAAAAGAAGGTAGGTTACTCCTTAAAATCTCCCTGTCAACTTAACTGCTGAGTAATAAACTCACGTTATTTGCTAGTAAGAAATACCTTAACTCTTGACTGCTTTCGCTGGAATGCCCCAAGCTAGGGATTGCCTGGGAAAATAGAACCCGGGATTTATCAGCGTGGCTTCTGCAGGATAGCAGGGTAATGTCATGAAAGCTGTGCACTCGCTCAAGTTGTTTAATATTTCTAAAGTTCTGAATTTATTAATCTGAACCAGAATCTGGAAGCTGCCACTGATGATCCCGATAGCTCTTTGCTTTGTCTGAGCCCTTTGCTTGACACATCCTTGAAATGATGTAGCAAAGTTCGATAGGTAAAATCTCTTTCCTGAGAGTCTGATTTGACAATCAGGTCCTGTAAATTAGCTCAACGACCTAAGTGGATTAACAGAGGTTTTACTGCATTACTAAAGCTACCAGCTAAGCTTGGCCTATAAGGGCGTTCCCTGAGGGTCTCTCTGATTGTCTTGCATGAAGTTAAAATATATTTAATTCATGTTACACAAGAGCCTAGGTGATTAATATGCATGGCTTCTGCATCTACCTTTTAAATAATGTTAGAGAGAATTTGTTGAAATGGGATTTTTGTGGCCTCATTGTTAAATGAGTCTTAAAGATCACCAACAAAATCATCACGGCAAATATGACCACATTCCAGCAGGATACACCTCATCATCAGTACAAGACTTGAAAAAGAGGTGAAGAAAACAGATTTTGAAACATTGACTTTTCACTGATATCTAGAGTACAACAGTTGAGTTGAAAGTGCCAAGGATATTGAGAAAAGTGTTTCTATGAAGAATATGAATCTTTGATGTGCTATAAATTCTTATAGAAAAGGAAGAATGTCCTTTTCACCCGAAGCCTAGTGGGAATAGCTTCACAAAGTCCGGTCAGAATTTGGGAATCAATGGAACAGATACATTCCTCCTTATTAACTAAACTGGTCCCCAATGCATCCCCTTCTCACCCACTCCATCAATAACAGGAGACAAGAAGCCACGAAGAGCCTGGAGTTGGGTACTGGGGGAGAAGCCAGTGGAGTGAAAAAATGAAGCCCACCAAGCAGGCAGCTAATCTGAAGGAGATAAAATTCTGGAAAAGAAGAGGTTCAACCCGAAGATAAATTATGGGTTTTTTTAAAAAAAAAACAATTGCTTGGATCTTAATACATTGATTAGTGAAAAAAATTGATTTGTAACAGTAGCTATAAGTCATCAGAGGACATTTTAGTTTTATGAGGGGGAGTGAATAGTTAGGAAGATTGTCTGTGTTTTTATCCATGGTTGAGAGAAGAGCCAGCAATTACAGGGGATTTGAATGATCAGTGGAGGTGGGAGGATGGGGAGTTGGGGGGCAGAATAAGATGTTTTTCTGACTTGAATATGTTTTTTTTCTTAATATCATCAAACAATATACACTTGTTATATTTTGCTTTCCATAACTTTTGGTGATGCCACTGTGATAAAAAACATATCTCAAATGTAAGCGTATAAATTGGGCTAGGACATATAGATGCATTTAAATAACTCCTTCTGTTGGAAGGGCCCAAGATCATGGGCCCTTCTTGGCGAGATCTATGTCCAATGACTGGTAGACATGGGCTATACACATGTTGGCCTCTTCCCTCAGCTAGGAGAATCTGGAGGTTCATCTCACCCTTAGAACGCTGCATAGGGTTGGCTGAGGCCAATGTTGAGCCTGTATCAAAGCCATCATCTTGCTTTGTCCACTTCTGCTTTTTTCCCTTCCCTTTCCTTCACCGATGCTGATTCTCAGGCTGCTTTCTCAAGAAATCTCAAATTCTCTCTAACATTATTCACAGACAAAAGGGGTTTAGCATACTAAACCCATATTTGCCGGGCGCGGTGGCTCAAGCATGTAATCCCAGCACTTTGGGAGGCCGAGGCGGGTGGATCACGAGGTCAAGAGATCGAGACCATCCTGGTCAACATGGTGAAACCCCGTCTCTACTAAAAATACAAAAAATTAGCTGGGCATGGTGGCGCGTGCCTGTAATCCCAGCTACTCAGGAGGCTGAGGCAGGAGAATTGCCTGAACCCAGGAGGCGGAGGTTGCGGTGAGCCGAGATAGCACCATTGCACTCCAGCCTGGGTAACGAGCGAAACTCTGTCTTCAAAAAATAAAATAAAAATAAAATAGAATAAACCCATATTTGACACTTAAGTGTATTGGAGCACAATTTGGCATGACTATTAAGATTTACATTTATTTTCTTAAATGTGTTCAAATGTAATTCCTTCGAGGTCCTAGAAGAAATACATTTCATTATATTGGTATAAATTATGTGGAAGTTTTTAGAGGAAATTTAGTACTGTGTAATGTGAAATAAAATCATTTTTACCTTCACTGCCTTAAAAGAGACATAAAAAATATAAATCTAATTTAGAAGTCTCAATAGTTTGTTAGTTCATCATTAGTTTATTAGTTCGACCTTTTTATGCTAATTTAAATTCCCTAAACGTATTTTTTCAATTTGGAGGAAACATTTTTGTGTGTGCGTGATAAGCCCTTAGATAATTTTCAAAAACGACATAAAACTGATATGTATCTTTACTTGCTTGCAAGATAATATAAGGCACATCTATTCATGTTCATTGAGTCATTATTTTTTTCTGGTTAAATATACTTCTGTTAAGTCATTTGTTTTAAGTTTTTATTAAGGTGACAAGAGACAGCATTTTAGATAAATGTTCACCAATGCCAATATATTTTTTTAAGAGTCTGCAAATAGAAAGCAAGATAATTTTTTCTGTATTTTCCAGACTTGTGACAGAGAGCTAAGTGAAAAGAGGGTGTGGGTGGAGGGGGAGGGGGAAAACCTGAAGAAAGGGGACATTTAAAAATTCTTCCTTTTGTGTTCAGAGCTCATAATATAGAAAAGTTACAGTTAAAAAAAAAGTTGCTATGCTCATAAAAAGCAACATTTTATTTTCAAACAAATTACTTTAATTATACAATTACCTTGTAGCCAGTAAGAATCATATACATATAAGAGCAAAATATTGTTTAATTGAATAAAACAATCTCACACTTATGCCCAGAAAACAGCAGAGTAAATAAGTTTCCCCAAACAATGGCAGAGAGAATGATTTTCATGCTGAGTTTTATTGATCTCTGGAACAGTAGCTCCCTCTGGGCAGAGAAACATAACAGAATTAAGGAAAGATATTTCCATTCCAGAGACCAGACATTTGGAGGGCAGTGAGTATAAATCATGAACCTGGCTAAGTATTTTATTTCTTATTGGATTCTTGACTGTTTCTTACTTTCATCATTCTGTGAGTCATGACTAACAGTGCTTCTGCTCATCTACAGTAATTGATTCTGAGAGAAATTTCTCCAAGGACTCCTGCAGCTCTCCTTTGAACATATGAAGAGGGAACATTCTTTCAGTCCCAGAAGCTGCTGAAGCAGAGTTGGAGAACCCCAGACTGAAGGGCTTTGATTTCACCCTGTACATCCAAGGGCACAAGGATCATATGAACGTAAGTCTGAGTTGGGTGTCTCCAATCATTTCGGAATTGCAATGAAATGCAGATTTCTATTCCTGAGAAGCAGGAATGAGAAGCAGAGTGGAATTTTGCAAAGGAAACAGAACTTGAACTCAGCAGTTGGTTCCACTCCTTGCCTCGCTGTAATATTGGGCAAGTCATATAAATTCTCCAGGCACAGTTTCCCTTTTGGCAAACAATAGATAGAATATAAATATGTTGCCAGGTCAGTGGACATTTCAAGGACAGTTTGATTTTTATGTGAAGTCATCTAGTTTTAAATGCTCTATTAAATTTTATTTTTTTTTAATTGTATAAGCTTAAGTAAAGGTATTGGACAAGACTTCTTTAGCACAGACAAAACACTTTCATTTTTTTTCCTGCCTTCACAACTCAGCTTCTCAAAAAAAGAAATCTGCTTTCAAACCCCGCTTTTCTCTATTTTTTAATTATCACATCATACACTTCAGTGTCTTCTGCTCCATCACCCCATAAAAAGAATCTCTATAAAAATTCTCAGGACTTTGCATCACTAACAAAAAGGTATATTCTTTTTTGTTTTGTATTTTACCTGACCTGTAAGTAGCATTTGAGCATCTCAAGTAACCTTTCCTTCTTGAAATCGTTGTTTTACTTGGCTTCGTTGACACATAATCTGCTTTCCTCTGATCTCTCTGGATGTTCCTCAATAGCCTTTTGGAAAGGTTTCTTCCTTCTCCCTCTGTGCTTTAAATATTGTAATTTTAAAACTTGCCCTAACCATTTTTCTTTTTCAATCTGTGCTATCCATATTAATGTCTTCAAGTACTCCTCACACAGCAAATGAATCCCAAATGTCTATCTCTAGCCCAAACCTTCCTATGGACTATTGGAATCAATTGCTTTCCAAAAATCTCGTTTTTAGGCCATTTAAACTCAACATGCCTAAAACTCAACTAGTGATATTTTTCATAAAGCTTAGTTCTCCTTAAGGATTTGATATCTTCACACTTGTTATTCATCTCTATCAGTTATGCAAATTAGAACCCTAGGACTCAACTGCCATCATGACTGCTCTTGCACCTGGAATTTCTAATCCCTATGCTTCTAAATTTCTTACAAATTCTACTTCTCTCCATCTGTACTGCTGTCACCTTCATCCAAACAACAGTCTTTGCTCTTGAAATCACTTCTTCCTGTCTTTCTTTCTTTCTTTCTTTTTTTTTTTTTTTTGAGACGGAGTCTTGCTCTGTTACCATGTTGGAGTGCATTGGCACGATCTCAGCTCACTACAACCTCCACCTTCCGGGTTCAAGTGACTTTCCTGCCTCAGCCTTCTGAGTGGCTGGGACTCCATGTGCGCCACATCACTCAGCTGATCTTTATATTTTTGTAGAGATGGGGTTTGACCCTGTTGGTCAGGATGGTCTTGATCTCTTGACCTCCTGATCCACCTGTCTCAGCTTCCCAAAGTGCTGGGATTACAGGCATGAGCCACCATGTCCAGCCCGCTCTTTCATTTTTAGTGCATTCAGCAAAATAATGATTTGCTAAACAAAAAACTGATTATATCTCTCTCCTGCTCAAAATCGTTTATGATTTGCTAACTTTTTTGGTGCAAAATATTTTTTACTCTCATCGAGGCCTGCCTGATGTTTCTCTAACTAGCTTTGCCTTGAATTGTTTTTCACCTTGCATACTGCCCTGTGGCTTTTTTTTTTTTTTTTATTGGATTTTAGGTTTTGGGGTACATGAGCAGAGCATGTAAGACAGGTGTGTAGGAACACACATGGCAGTGTGCTTTTCTTTCCTTCTCCCCTTCACCCACATTTGGCATTTCTCCCCAGGCTATCCCTCCCCACCTCCCCCTCCCACTGGCCCTCCCCTTTTCCCCCCAATAGACCCCAGTGTTTAGTACTCCCCTTTCTGTGTCCATGCGTTCTCATTTTTCATCACCCACCTATGAGTGAGAATATGCGGTGTTTCGTTCTCTGTTGTTGTGTCAGTTTGCTGAGGATGACGTTCTCCAGATTCATCCATGTCCCTTATGTATGCTCCTAGATTTACTAGGGTTCTTTTTGCCTCAAGTCTTTGACTCGGACTACACATTCTTTTCCTGACACCCTTCCACCGCTTCATTCACTTGTACTCATCATTACCTCCAATGCAAAGACTTTACTGACCCTCCAGACATGGTCATGTCTCCCCTGTTGGCACTCTTGCAGCTTTGTAGATCTCTCTTGGCACTTACCACCGCATATAATCCTATCTGTGTCCTAGTTTGGTTACTATGTGTTCTCGATTGGTCTGTAAGCTCCGTAAGAAATGATACTACAGTTTTTGTTTATCATTATATTCCAAATGTCTAGCATAGGTCCTGGTATTTGGAAAAGATTCAGTTAATACTAATTCAATGAATGATTTTGAGTAAGTTTTTCTTTCAGATTTTAGTATTTTTATATATATTTAGAAATTATAAAAGTGTGTTTTGTGATTAGTAATAACAACCTGTTCCTTCTCCCATCCAGGTCTTAGATTGTGGCATCATGAATTCTATTCTGCTGTCCACAGGAGACACAGGCCTGGATAGATGTTTATTTTAGTATCACTGTTAAGGAAGTTAGAAAAACACTTATTTCTTTTTTCATTAAGGCATTGACTTTGGAACAAGCATTTAAATATGTAATTGTAGTGCCTGGCATCTTGCCCCTGCTTAGGAAAATGGTCGGGAATTAGGTTGGGGCAGCTACTTACTTTCATCATCTGTTTATCTAATAAGGGACTTTAATTCCAATTTCAGCTGTAATCTGAACTACCTTTCTTCCCTCTTTTCTATTCCCCCATTGTTACTTGTCCTCCAAATGCTTTTCACTCAATCCTCTTCAATTGCTCTATTGATGAACTTTCACTTACACAAAATTTTGCATAGAAACTTCTGGGCTCTTAAAAACCCCTTGTGATGGAGCACCTATATCAGATCACTTTCTGGTGAACCCAGCATAGATCTTTTCTAAGGATCAACGTAATGGTTCATTACTTAGTAGACCCTGTGACCACCACTTCCAAGTTATTTGCTTCCTTATCTTTATGCCATATTCTCATTGTAGTCCTATGTCTTTTTTCCTATCATTACCTTGGAGTATATAGCAGGACTCCCAAAAGCATCTTCAGACTCACAGACATGAGACTTAGCTGGAATTTCAGTGGGGCTAGAAACCCGGAGAGCATAGCCCTGGCTAGTGCCCTTCTGATCGCCCCCTAGAGTATCTTTGCAAAACTTCCTGTCACTCCTCGGAGACTTTTACTTATTCCGTTGCTGCCCTCAAGAAATCTTAGAGGCTCACTTTGTCCTCTTCTTCACAAAGAGAATGACATGTAAACTTGGTTAAGTTTCTTCCAGTTTAAAAACAATTAAGCAACACTTCCTGGAGTCTGTCCATTGCAAAACGTTGTTCTTTATACTAACTTTACCCCTTGGTAGGGAAGTGTGAAGTATTTGACTATACTCACTCATTTCACATTCTTTTCCCAATCAACCGAATCTGGCTGTCCCTGTGATTTCACTTTATGGTGGAGGTTGTTTATATCCTCTTAATTGCTGACTCCTAAAGATTGTTAGATGTGTGTGTGTGTGTGTGTGTGTGTGTGTGTGTGTGTTTTCCTTTGACTTCTGAACAATTGTTAACACCTCTTGCAACTTTCTTTTTGAATTTCTTCCTTCACTTGAAATCTTTGACACTTATTCTTTCCCAGCTTTTTTTTAAATTCTCTTCCCCCATCAGTCTTCTTTAATAGTGTCTCTTCTCTCACATTTTAAAATAAGGGATTGCTAATGACTCCTTGTCAGTGTTTTCTTTCTTTTACACGACATCCTAGCAATTTTATCTACACTCCTGTGTTTGGTTACTGCCTACACACTTTGGCTGTCTCCTATGGTGGTAAATAGCTTAAGATCAGGGAGCAAAGAACTTAACCGGGATTGTGGTGTTGCTACTTCTTTGCTGAATCCACATGAACAAGTCACTTCACATCCTGTAACTTGATTATTTTATTTGCTCCTCCCCAATACCATTGAACAGCTTGAATTTGTTCCACAGAGTAAAAACCAGAAAACAACTTTTCTAATATATATATTTTTATAACTGGGACTGTAAGATAAATTCAAGACTCTGTCAATCTGACTACTTGACTAAGCACTGGATTTTGGAACTAAAGACACAGACAAGCAGGAACATCTGGTATGAGTGGGGTTAGGGACATCCAGTTTCAGATGCTTCAGTGGCAGAAGTTCTAGTACTAGCATCATGGTCTGGCTTTGGGGAGGAGAGTTTGCGTGCTTGAACATCAGTGTGCTGTGGTGACAATAGGGCCACATCAAGGGGAGCAGAGTCTCCGGTGAATTTGCGGGCTTTGTACCTTGTGGTTTGCTGTGTAGATTCAAATACCTCCTGTGATAGCAACAAGCTAACTAACAACCCTTAATAGATTTCTGCTAAAATAACTAACGTGGTTTTTCCACAAGAAGCTGCCATTTCTTCTCTAATGAGACTGTGTTTCTCTCTTCCCTGATGAACCTAGAATGACTTTGCCAGGTGCAAATACCTTGTAAGTGTAAAGAGGATTCCCTGATGACATCACACCATGGCATCTCCAGATCTTTAACTAGAATCAGTGCCCTCGGGTGGGTGTAGAAGCATTTACAAGTAAAACCTAGAAGGACAAGGCTCACATATATGAAGATTGCATGGCTTTGCCAATTTGTACAAACGAGAACTGAGAGCTGATGTGTGAGAACAGATTCTGTGGGCATTGGATTAAGAAGTGAGAGGTGTAATTGTCTATCAGTAATGTCTACATCTTGATGGTGACCTGTTTTTTGTTTCGTTTTGTATCATTCATGAGCTAAGGTTGGCTTTTATGTTTTTAAATGGTATCAATTTAAATTGATTTTTATAAGTATACACACTACATCTTAGATTTGGTCTCAGTTGAAAATATTTACTGTTTTGCTGTTT